ACTCTTCCCACGGGTGTCGTATACCCGACTAAGGGACTCACTCTGATAAACCCGAACCTTTTACACTACGATCTCCAACCCCCCTTTTTTGAAGAGCATACAGAAATCAAATTATTAATTGCGATCCTACATACTTCTTTAGGTTAAAAAATTCTTCGTTTACATATTTTGCTTCTCTGCTTTCCACTCCAGTGTTCAAAGGCGTGATGTTATCTAACTGTCTATTTTCCCGTTGCATATAATTTACTCGTGCGTTAAGCGAAATATTACTGTTGTTTCAATAACGCTAAATATAACTGCTTATATGCTGTAAATAGCTTGTTAAAAGCCGTTTTTTATGGCATAAGCCGGTAAACGGATCACCTGATGGAAAGCAACCGGCGTCGCCCATGGACACCTGGAACACCAGAGGCGTTACAAGTGCGTTACAGGCCATTTGGGGATTGGGAGTTTGAGGATCGTTTGGGATTCAGGGATTGAGGAGATTGGGGTAGGGGAGGGTAATTGGGCCTCCGGTAACCTCACACGACGAAACACAACGCAAGCGTTCGCGCTTCGCGTCGGTTTTCTGCTCGGCCGTGGTATCACTCCGGTCGAGCCGGCCCATTCGTGACGAATTAAGCCACACGTACTATTAAGCTTGCTCATGCATGAAAAGACCATACCAATTTTGAGCAACATCCCAACACACATGCTACTAAGTGACAAATGCTCCATTGAAGCAAGTTTTCGTTTTTTTATGGGATAAGCCAGTAAACGAGCAGGTCAATCCCCGAATCCCCCACAATCCTCAAATTCCTCATTCTCAAAAGGCAGGTAACGCACTTGTTACGCCTCTGGTATTTCAGGTGTTCTTGGGCGATGTCGATTGCTTACAATCAGGTGATCCGTCTACTCGTTTAAAAAATATATATATTGGGCACAATTTCCGAGACCTATCAAGAAATTTCAATAAATACTCATTACCTATTACTTTGCTGGATCCGGAGCTCGAGATCTCTTTCTTCGCACTCGTGACCAACAAGGCAATTTAGTACTTAAAATTAATTTTAAATTTGTTTTAGTTATCCATGCAAATGTGACACACTTCTATTCTAATTTACCGACAATTTATTTAAATAAATTATCCTATATTACTATAAATAACGATAATCGTGTACTGAGTACTAAATAATTAATGAATGGTTAAATGTGTTAATCTAATTTCTTCAGTCGCGCTCAAACTCCTGAACGGACGGACCGATTGGAAAAGTAATGTGAAAATCTAAATTTAACAGATGGGAATTTAAAAAAGGAGCACTCTGTGATAACTGATAAACCTGAACCTTTTTAAACTGCGGTATCCGCCTGCCTGCGGAGATTACGACAAACCCCTCTAAAGTAGGGGTCCCATGGCCTGCTTTCTCACAGCTCAGACCAAGCCAGGCCAGATCGACAGGCCGTGGGAATCGTCGCATCCGATGAAGCTTGTGATGGCCTGTCCTCGCCCGTCCGATCCATCGGGAGTCGATAACTTCAAAGGCGCTACGAAAGCGGCTGCACACGCAGCCATGCGCTCTGAACATGTTGTAATGACAGACAACAGGCCGCACCAGACTACCACACGCCGTGGGAATGCTTAATACGGGCCGCGGCAGGCCTCCACAGGCAGGGCAACGCCTGTCGCGGCCTGTCGCCTGGCAGGCCGTGGGACCCCACCTTTATGTAGAGGAGACTCGAGGTCCAGCAGTGGACTGTTACGGACTCCTGATGGTGATGATTATTGATAATTACTCTAACATTGTTGATAGAACTCACAACATAGGGATTTACTGCAAGCAAAGGTAATATTGATCTAACCAGATGCCTGATTCAATTCATAGTAATTGTATTTTAATGATTTTCTATAATTTATTTATTAATCCTTAAATTGCGGAGCTGCGATTGATCTAGCTGGTTACCAAGGCTTTTTTTTTACGGGGGGAAAATCATCGAATGACTGCTCCCGCCTGGGTGAGGCGGGAGGGAGTGTCAGACTCTTACTGACTAAAAACCATGCCGTTCCTACTCCTGCACTTCGAGCCGGAGCTCCGGTAACCCGTTAAGTTCTTTGTGGCTCCGTGGGGTATCAAGACTAGAACTCCAAGCAGGACTAGGACTCGGTATGAGTCTGACACTTTCTCTCGCCTCACCAAAGGAGGGAGAAGTCATTGGATGATTATTCCCCTAAAAATTGGAGTTATGAGTGTGTGGCTACAGGAGATCTGACCTCCGGCAACCTCACTCACACAGCGAAACACAACGTAAGCGTTATTTAACATCGGTTTTTTATTATCTTAGTTAATTCAGGGTCCTTTGGTCGCACAGAGACCATGCCAGACCTATCGTTCCCTAAAAATTAGTAAAAATATTTAACTAAACTTACATTAACTTAAGTTACATTACCTATATATAAAAATGAAACCCGTTTCCAGTTGTCCCGCCATAACTTGAGAACGGCTAGACCGATTTGGTTGATTTTCTTTTTGTTGTGTTTGTTATTGTCAGGAGAAGGTTCTTATGACAGAAAAAAGGCTTGAAAATCCTATGGGAACGGGAGGAAACTGGAATTGCGCGTACGAAGTCGCGGGCAGAAGCCAGTTTTGTATATTAAGGTAGCTGCTTTGGATAAAGGCTGTGACAATATACTGTGAAAAACGGCAACATTTTATAAATTCATTCTAGGCATATCAGTTTCTATGAGTCCGTGGTGTCACTCCGGTCATGCATGCCGAAGTATGGCTCTCGTACGTGTAAAATTGTTATTTATCATTATTTAGCCTTCCAACTATCTCCACAAATCACGTCAGGCGATTGTTTTTTTTGCAAATGCAAACAAATCGCACCTTTAAAGCAAAACTGTTATTAAACGAAAATTTTCATGAATTGAGTTATACATCAACAGCCTAAATAAATGCCCACTGCTGAGCAAGCCTCTTCTGACACGGAGAACGTTTAAGCATTAATCATTACGCTTGCTCAATGCGGGTTGGCGACTTCAAACTTGTAATTAGAAATAATAAGCCCTCACGGTGTTTTCCTTCACCGTTTGTCAGTGGTGTCTAAATAATTTTAGAAAGTACCTACATATAGCTCGAAAAAAATCATATTGCTACTTGCCGTTGGTAGGTTTCATGCATGAGAAGCGGGCGTCGTAAACCTCCGGGCCACCACGACCTTTGAGTTAATGCCATCTAATTATTTTAGTCAATTAATTATTTTTTTTAATCTTTATTTTAGTAAGAGGGTTTTTTCAACAGAGAAAATGTCACCCCGATTGAATACAGATAGAATTAACAATAAATTATACTTACTAACATAAATCTAGCCTACCCTCAACCTTAAGCCTATAATAATAATAATAATTTTGAGCAGCTCTTTAGATTGATTAGCTTCCGATAGTGGCCAAGACAAAATACTGTTATAAAAACCAACATCAATAATGTTGTCCCCAAAAGTCACGTCCGACTACATTCATGTAATATGTGGTAAAAAAGTCAATTCATGTAAATACTGAATTCATGAAAAATCACGCGTCTATAATTGGCTAGTTTCCTAGGTTTAAAATTAATTGTTTCAACTTTTCAATGCAATAATTTTTAAAAAATAATCATACTCTCATCCATTGATTTGACAATTTACCTACTTTTGGATTTTTTTCTCGCTAATTTAAAGGAAATAAGTGTGCTATTTGACGCAGAAATAATAATAATTGTGCTGTTTGATGACGTCATAAGTTGCGATCCAATACAAAATCAATAGAAAAGTATCGTTTTTGACATTTCAATAAAAGTATTGAATTTGATTACCTGTCAACTACCGTATTGCAGGGATGTAATATTTGTAAATCTATATTTTTAATAGGTATTTGAAGCATATAGTTTGTTTGACGCTCTATTCTCCGACAAGCTCAAATTGAACAATTAATTTCGTGTTGGATAAACCCTTTATCGAGGAAGGCAATAGCTATAAAACATAACGTATAATTTTAATTGTGGGAGAGCCATGCTTCGGCACGAATGGGCCGGCTCGACCGGAGTGATACCACGGCCGAGCAGAAAACCGACGTGAAGCAACGCTTGCGTTGTGTTTCGTCGTGTAAGTGAGGTTACCGGAGGCCCAATTACCTTCCCCTTCCCCAATCTGAATCCCTGAATCCCCAACGATCCTCAAACTCCTAATCCCTAAAAACCCGGTGACGCACTTGTAACGCCTCTGGTGTTCCAGGTGTCCATGGGCGACGCCGATTGCTTACCATCAGTTGATCCCTCGGCTCGATTACTGGCTTAGATCTTTAAACTGCGCAACGGAGTTTGATGCGGTTTCCTTTAATAGATAGCGTGATTCTTAGGGAAGGTTTATATGTACAATACACATATTCCACCCGTGCGAAGCCGGGGCGGGTCGCTAGTTAAATATACAGAACAAATGGCGATAATATATTTCAAAATAACAGTTAAATTCAAGGTTGCCATTTTCTAAAATAATGTCTAAATACACCTCGTTTAATTTGACCTTGAAGTGCTGAAGTTTAAAAATTAAGCAAAAATTTTTTATCGACTCATATTTTATTGTTTGAAATTTTTTTTTTCAAATTGCTGGCTGACCTCTTTGACATTTTCTAATGAAAGTGCAAATAAAGAATTACTCTTGAAGGACCTTCGGTATTATTAATAACAAAAAACGAATGTTTTCAAAATCCTCCCAGACGACTCGACTATTAATTTTAAACATGTTCTAAAAACCATTAACTCGTCGAGTACCGGTTTTGTAGACACAATTATAGAACAATAGGTTGCGGTCACCGGTGACCGCTTGGTGTTTGACAGTTTAAGTACATAAATGTTTAATTAACGTTTTTAATAATTAAAACACGTGGAACCACTATTACTACGATTGTTAAATAGTAGATGAAAAAACAAATGAATGTATGCTGTTTTTTTACAAACAATGACTAAAGAAACACCTTTCTTTGATTCCAGATATCAGCTGTAAAGCAGCTAAGCAGTAGAAATGAAAGTGTGGGGAGCTCACGGAGAGTTCTGCGCGCGACACCAATGGGAGGTGATCGTGGCTACCTTAGCCCTGCTGGCCTGCGCTGCCAGCGTTGAGAGAAATGGCCCAGGGAACAGATCAGAGCACTGCGCAGGGTGGGCCCGCGCCTGCCCAGGCCTCGAAGCCGAGTACCAAGCTGCCGACGCAGTTATAATGACCTTCGTCCGCTGCGCAGCCCTCCTATACGCCTACTACCAAATCTCCAACCTCCACAAAATAGCTTCGAAGTATCTTCTCATCATCGCCGGGGTGTTTTCGACTTTTGCCAGCTTCATCTTCACCTCAGCCCTAGCCAGTTTGTTCTGGAGTGAGTTGGCGAGTATAAAAGATGCGCCGTTCCTATTTTTGTTGGTCGCTGATGTGGCTAGGGGCGCGAGGATGGCGAAGGCTGGCTGGTCTGCTGGAGAAGACCAAGGAAAAAGGGTTGGGAGAGCGTTGTCTTTGCTTGGACCCACGGCTACGTTAGACACACTTCTCGCTGTCTTATTAGTAGGAGTCGGGGCGTTATCTGGCGTCCCTAGATTAGAACATATGTGCACATTTGCCTGCCTAGCTCTGTTGGTAGACTATTTAGTATTTGTGACATTCTACCCCGCCTGTTTGTCTTTAGTAGCGGACTTCGCTTCAGGGCGAAAAGAAATATCACCTGACAATCCATTCTTGGAAGCTGATTTAAAACCGAACCCTGTTGTTCAAAGAGTTAAGATGATAATGGCTGCTGGACTCTTATGTGTACACCTGACCAGTAGATGGCCTTGGAGTGTCGATAACGGGATCATAGAAGGTCCCACAGACACATTAACCCCTACCCCGAACGACAACGTCCTCCTACATTCCTACGTGAAATGGTTCTCAGTCTCCGCTGACTACATAGTCATAGCGACACTACTATGTGCCTTAATTATTAAATTTATGTTCTTCGAGGAACATCGAAGCTGGGTCATTGACATGAATGACATGACCGTGAAAGAAGTCATTCAAGAGCAAGCAAGAATTAAGCCGAAATTCTCAGTTGGAGATGATTCTAACTCTGACGTATCTACTCAGACAGAGGGAGTTTCTGAAGAGGAATGGCCTACTCTCTCTCCAAGCTCTTCTGCAGCTAAATTGAACGCGAAGAAGCGTCCAATGGCTGAATGCCTCGAAATATACAGATCTGAAGGAGGCTGCATCTCTCTTAGCGACGAGGAAGTGGTGATGTTGGTAGAACAATCACATATTCCTCTACATCGATTAGAAGCGGTGTTGGGTGACCCACTCCGCGGCGTTAGATTGCGCAGGAGAGTGGTCGGTACTAGATTCCAGACCGAGCTAGCTATAAAACAACTGCCTTACTTAAATTACGATTATTCTAAAGTGCTGAATGCGTGTTGTGAAAATGTGATTGGTTATGTTGGAGTACCAGTGGGATACGCAGGTCCATTGGTCGTTGACGGTAAGGCCTACATGATCCCAATGGCGACCACAGAAGGAGCGTTAGTTGCTTCTACGAATAGAGGAGCTAAAGCTATCGGTCCGAGAGGTGTAACGAGTGTGGTAGAAGACGTAGGTATGACGAGAGCGCCCGCCATCAAACTGCCAAACGTTGTCAGAGCACATGAGTGCAGACAATGGATAGACAATAAGGACAACTACGCCTTAATCAAAGAAGCCTTCGACTCCACATCAAGGTTCGCTCGCCTGCAAGAGATCCACATAGGCGTGGATGGGGCAACGCTGTACTTAAGATTTAGAGCGACCACAGGAGACGCCATGGGCATGAACATGGTCTCAAAGGGCGCAGAAAACGCCTTAAAACTCCTCAAAAACTACTTCCCAGACATGGAAGTAATTAGTTTATCAGGAAACTATTGCTCTGATAAAAAAGCAGCCGCTATTAACTGGGTCAAAGGTAGAGGGAAGCGAGTGGTCTGTGAGACTACTATAACTAGTGACAATTTGAGGACTATCTTCAAAACTGACGCTAAGACTCTGGCGCGATGCAATAAGATTAAGAATCTCTCGGGGTCGGCTTTAGCCGGGTCCATCGGTGGTAATAATGCGCACGCAGCGAATATGGTGACCGCCATTTACATAGCAACAGGCCAAGACCCGGCCCAGAATGTGACCAGCTCGAATTGCTCCACAAATATGGAATGCTGTGGGGAAAATGGTGAAGATCTTTACGTGACTTGCACCATGCCGTCTTTGGAAGTGGGTACTGTCGGTGGGGGCACGATTTTGACAGGCCAAGGCGCTTGTCTGGAGATACTAGGGGTGAAAGGAGCTGGGGTTCGGCCAGCTGAGAACTCAGCAAGACTAGCTTCTCTGATTTGCGCCACCGTTTTAGCTGGCGAATTAAGCCTAATGGCTGCTCTCGTCAATTCAGATCTTGTCAAATCTCATATGAGACATAACCGCTCTACGGTAAACGTACAAGCTGTTAACGTTCAAACAGATACTATAACTTTAAAAGTACCGACATTATAACACAAAGTTATATGAAACTTCTCCTCATCACAGGGGCCTTATGGAAAATCATTCGTTTCATGCCGTTTTTTGGTACTTTACTGAATCAATGTGTAGGGCGTAGCACTGTGCTTAATTTAGCCTTTAGCGATGTGAGAAGCCTGGTTTAAGAAAAGCTAGATGGTAATAAGAAATCATGTTAATCAAGAATTTTATTCTTCATTTTGAATTTTGACAATCTACATTTACAAAGTGTATTACAAGGATCAAGGACGATGATAAAAAGGCGGGCATAATGTAATATAATGTAACTTATAAATGGTTGAAGCTGTCAATGGGTTATTTTATGTGTGCGTGTGTAATGGGTTACCACGTTACCAGACTTAGAAAATGAGATGTCCTTCGTGTCAATGTGTTTATATTCTGCGTGTAAGTCTATAAGAACCAGGTGCCACAGTCGTTGTTTCAAGATACTGTCCGCCTTTTTGTCAAAATTCTTATTTAATTATTTGACGTTTGGCAAAAAGGAACAATATTGGCGCCATTTTTGCTTTCTTTTTTCATATGGCAACTCTTAACTGTTAAAGAGGCTTTTTTCCACTATCTATATGTAAAGTTGCCATTGAAAAAAATTTAATATTCATTTCTTTTTTTGCCAATAAACTAAATACGTTTAACAGTGATTTTTTTACTTTTTTAACAACATGAGGATTCGGTGGCCTATTATAAGCAAAGTAATATATTTTTATGTTATATCAAAATGGTATTATCGAATATATATTTAGTTTAATGTCTGCTAATGCTGCAAATGTGAATCGAGAACATAAATTTTATTAAATAGTTGTTCGTTCAATAAATTTACTTTGAATGTTTTATGAGTTTTATTCAAGTTTTTTTATGCGAAAAAACGAGTAGATTCGTACGTTCCGTAGCATTTATTACGAAAAACTAGCTGCGGCTGATGAAATATTGAAGCGTTCAAGGGCGACTGGTTTGACTCGCTATACTAAGTACGCACCCGCTCAAATCTTACAACTTTGTACGAAATATACCTATATTGGTAAGACAAAGATACATCTAAGTAATTTTAGATAACAACCAACCTTTAGGCAGAGGTGCTCATGTAATGAATATCCACTCTCGTCATCTCGGCGGTTAAAGGGTTAGATAACAACCAACCTTTAGGCAGAGGTGCTCATGTAATGAATATCCACTCTCGTCATCTCGGCGGTTAAAGGGTTAGATAACAACCAACCTTTAGGCAGAGGTGCTCATGTAATGAATATCCACTCTCGTCATCATTTATACCTATGACTACAGAGGGGTGCCGCGACACGCGCATTCTAAACTATCCAGTGTGATGGCTGCCCTAAAAAAAAATTAAGGACGCACCTAAGGAGCTCGCTTATGGCACTTTCTGTTTTCTGTTTCTGTTTCACCCTAGAAATTGTTTCTTAGAGAATAGCATTGCTGGATTGTATTAGAGATTAGACACATTGCCATAGGGATTTTTTTTAAGTGGGGAAAATCATCGAATGACTGCTCCCGCCTGGGTGAGGCGGGAGGGAGTGTCAGACTCTTAATGACTAAAAACCACCCCGTTCCTTCTCCTGCACGTCGAGTCGGAGCCCCGGTTACCCGTTAGGTTCTCCACGACATTGCTTTAGGGATAATAAGACTCTGCTTATGAGCCTCATAGATGGTGAATCCATTGCCATATACCAAGCACGATTATCTATACATATAATAAAACTGTAGAAGTGTATATTCTGTACATAGAAAATATTAAACAAAAATAGTAGGAAGTATTACTAGAAACACGCCAAGCCCAAAAATATGTATGATTATAAAAATTGTTGTCTGTATGTTCACTCATCACGCAAAAACTTATGGTTGGATTACGATGAAACTTGGTATGATTACACTTTATTATCCCGGACATCCAATTGGGTAGGTACTTGTGTCCCGAAAAAGTATATAGATTTTATAGCCTTTTATCCCCGAAGGGGTAGACAGAGGTGCACATAGAAGTAACACCCACTTTATATTATGAGTACTATGTAATAGGGAGTGAGCCTATTGCCATATACTGGGCACAATTCCAGACTCTGTGCTACTATTGAGAATATTTTTAAAACCCAGTTTTACTTTGCCCGACCCGGGAATCGACCCGGCAGTCATACTTGCGACGACACGGCCAACGAGGCAGTCCTAAGTATTACTTATGTATGCATTTTTTAACTGGACAAGCCGAGAGGAGTAGGATGGAGGATGTGGCGACATCCTCCCAAAACCGCTGCAACTCCTATAAGCCAGGATCTACAATAGATACAACCATGAAAACACTGGAACACTGAAGTCCAACGTCCCAGGGACATGAGTAACTGTCTTGGTTCCCGCAACGAAGTGAATCAGAAGATATTATAAGAGGAGAAGAAAAAAGAACGATAGTTTCCGCTTCCTCTTTCACACTTTGTATGCATTACGCCATATAAAAATATCTCCCTAGATGTTTTATGAAAATCTTTGCTGTTCCTGTCCATCACAGGTAATTTAGTACTCGTATCATTTACCGCCTTAAAAAAGGAGTTTCTCAATGAATATGTGAGATTACCTCGCGATTGGTTGAACCAAATTTATTGTGGTTCTTTATATTTCAGAGGGTGGCTTTCGTCTATAACGCCGATGGGCGTCGTCAGCAAATCTATACTTATAATAAATCTGTAGAGATCAATTCTGTACATGAAATATATTTCCAAAATAACTATCAGGGGGTGATTAGTGATCGATTCTAATGCCAAAAAAATGCAATCAGTAAATTTTTTGTCTGTCTCTCTGTCTATCTGTATGTTCCTTATAGAAATAAAAACTACTCGACGGATTTTAACGAAACTTGGTACAATTATTCTTCATAATCCTTGGGAGGTTATAGTATACTTTTCATCACGCTACAATCAATAGGAACAGAGCAGCGAAGAAAAATGTTGGGAAGTTACTCCCTTTTTTTAACTTCCGTCGCGTGAGCAGGCTTAATAGTTAAAGCTACATAGAAATCATGTATGACGGATATGTTCTACATAAAATTATCTAAATAATATCCCACAACAGCACACGTCTATCTTTTATGGTTGATAGCTTAGCAGTTAGGAGCTTTCTGTTTATATTTATTTACTCTTACGTTTACAATACTCATCCATAGACTTTACGCTGTACTGTAGGGCCTATGGTTGAAATTAGTTTGACTCGATATTATAAATGTGAAAATATGTTTTATATGTTTTTTACTCATATTAAAACGACTGAAAGGTCCGGAATGAAATTCGGAACAGAGATAGATTATGGTCTGAAGTAATACATAGGCATTTGACCCCTGGGGTCGCGGGGGAAGCCGCTGGGAGAAGCTAGTGAATAATATAACTGGTTTTTGCCAAGAAATATATAATTGTAAAAAAGGCCCCGTACTCCGCACCTGAATATGAAATAAAAAACGCCGATAGGCGTCTGGGGTAGGTTTTATAATATGAATGAAACAACCTCAAAATTGAGGACGTTGAAGTCAGTTTTTTTTAACCCCTGGTACGTCAGAGTGTAGAGCGTACTTTTTATATTATATAGTAGATGGTTCAGATATTTAATAAACTAGATAGTACTAGGTATATAAAATAAGTGTTTTTGATAAAATAAGAAATGTAATGCTATTATTATTATTTCTACACCGGAGACGGTTGTGTATGTGAAACTGCTGTATTGTTAAGATCTGTGTGTACCTTATACTTAGAAATTTATACTAATATTATAAAGAGGAAAGATTTGTACCTATTTTTGTATGTTTGTAATGAATAGGCTCAAAAAGTACTGGGCCGATTTAAAAAATTCTTTCACCGATAGAATGCTACATTCTTCCAATTCGAAATAGGCTACATTTCATTTTGAAAAAAAAAAAGATAATTGTCTACCCCCTGCGAAATCGGGACGGGCTGCTAGTAAACGATATTATTATTATTATATTTGTACTCTTTGGCATAGATCTACGCGAGACAATGCATATTTATATGTCTCATAATAATATATCGACAAGAGATTAAACGTACATACCGTTTTTTACACGTGAGTTTGTAAACGAATTCTGTATCGAAAATTTCCACTAAATGCATTTGTGATGCCCATATAACTAAGTATATAAATTAGCAGTAAAACCACGATTGTTTTAATTTATGGGCAACAAATACTGACAGTTTTATGCTGTGCCTAAGTAGCGTGACGAAAAACTAAGTGATCATGACGTCACGCCTTTCAATCCTCCAAGGGGTAGACAGAGGTGCACAAATACAATGTCCCATTCACTTTTCACCAGTTAAGAGTTCCATGTAATAAGAGACAGCCTTAGTAAAATCCTACTAATATTATAAATACGAAAGTTTGTATGTTTATGTTAGATACTCATTCACGTCCAAACGGCTGAAGGATCAATATGAAATCTGGAACAGGGGTAGATTATGGTCTAGACTAGAATAACACAGGCTACTTTTTTCCTCCACGGAAAGGCGGGCGTATCCCCTGGGTGACGATTCAGTGTTTGTCGTTGTTTAAAAAGTGCATAAGGATTAATTGAAATAAATCGACTTTGAGAAGCTAGCAGAGAACATAACATCACGCCCTTATCCCCGAGGGGTAGGCAGAGGTGCACATTACGGAACTTAATGCCACTGTACAATGTAACACCCACTTTTCACTATTTATGTTGAGTCCTATGTAATAGGGGTGAGCCTATATACACCGGGCACATTCCCAGACTTCATGCTACTACGGAGATTATTTTTAAAAACTCAGTAATACTTTATTACAGTAAGCTAATCCTTACTAATATTATAAATTGGAAAGTGAGTTTGTTTGTTTGTTTGTTCCGCTTTCACGCCGTAACTACTAAACCGATTGCTCTGAATTTTTGCAGACGTAAAGTTCGAAGTCCGGATTAAATAATAGGATACTTTTTATCCCGGAAAAAAATTATATTCCCGAGGGAAAACAAAAGTATTGGTATAGATGGCGCTGTGTGTATTGGTATATGTCGCATAGGCTACTTTTTATCCTTTTGTGACGCGAGCGAAGCCGCGGGTAAAAGCTAGTAGAGAATAAATGAGAAAAACAAAGCAAATATTTGTAATACTTTTATTAAAAAATTAAAAATTCTGTCTTACTTTTCTTTTTTTCATATTTACATACATATTAGACAGTACAGTGATTACGCTGCAAGTTCAATTTTTCATTTTTCTCTACAATAAATACAAATAATGAATTCGAGTATTTTTCACTATAACAATGAGATTGAAGAAATTTGTGTTCAGACAGACATGCAAATCAAACTATCCCATTTAAAATAAATATTACCTATATTTTACATTATTGAGAGGAGTCCAACCAAACTGTCTCAATTTAAATATATTATTTTACATTTTGCAAGAGGAATTCAACATTATGGATAGGTTGAGATGCTAGCGTCTGTATTATAGACAATTTTTACAATAATTACATGGATTTGTTCACCATATAGTCAGATAGTACTTTGTATACACTGCAATCGTCATCAGAGGTAAATTATATACATAAAATCACGCTTTTCGTTTTAAAGGAGCAGAGCAAAGTAATAAGACGGCCACGAATCATTGACAAAATTATGTCCGAGAGATTTTTGAAGTTGTTAACAATCGCGTTGCAGTAGGCCTATTACCAAATACCAGTCACACAAATCTAGAGATATTGTTGACAAATTACATTATAATCCAAAATATGGATTGAAACAGATATTTTATGCTCGGCACTCGTAATTAACATTACTCTACCAGTCAGTCAGAATTCTGTAGTAATTACAACATTTTGAAGTCAAAAATCTACATATGTATTTTAGTTTAACAATCATGAATGACTAGATTTATAGTGTCTACCAGACATATATAAGTGTTAAAAAACAAATATTTTCGTCAAGAACTATGTCATTCCTATAAGAATGTATCGTATGAGTTATTTTGAAGTGTATACATTCATTGTATTGTTTTAACGACATATTTTATATATACAATGTATTTAAATATTTAGGAATCGATTGTCTTTCACATCAAAGACTATAAATCAGAGTTTATTGCGCATTGAACATGTGAGGTGTGTAAATGAAACACATACACTTTATTATAAATATAATAATATGTGATCTGTTAACAAGGTCGTAACACTATCACTGACTGTCGAATATTTACAGTAAGACAGGCGTACTAGGCGCACTATAGCAGAGTCCGTGGTCGCGGCACTAAAACGTGTCGGCGGCGAGGGGGGCGGAGCGCTAGGGCGCCGCGCGGTCGCGCAGCCAGGCGCGGAACGTGTCGCGGCGCCGCGCGGCCTGGCGGGGCTGCGAGGCGCGCGCCGCGGCCAGGCAGCCGCGCCGGTACAGCTGCAGCGGACGGAAGGCCAGCAGGCGCGGCGCGCCGCAGTCCGGGGGCTTGCGCCGCGCGTGCACCGCGGGCTGCGCCGGCGCCGCCTGCGAGTGCGCGTTGTGCGTGTAGCCGGGCGCCCGCGCGCGCGCG